ACCTTTATCTGTTTGATTCCTAAGAGGGATGGAGCCATTAGAATGGGAGAATTTAGGCCTATTAGTTTGATTACATCACTTTACAAGATTTTGGGTAAGGTTTTGTCAAAAAGGTTGAGATGTTCTTTAGGAGATACAATCTCTCAGACACAAGGGGCTTTTGTGCAAGGTAGGCAAATTCTAGATGTGGTTCTGGTGGCAAATGAGGTGGTAGAGGAGTGTCGGAAGTCGGGGAAGGTAGGCATTGTGTTTAAGGCAGATTTTGAGAAAGCATATGATCATGTAAACTGGCGCTTTTTGGATTTCGTGATGAACAAGAAAGGGTATGGTGCGAGATGGAGAGCTTGAATTAAGGGTTGTTTGACGTATTGTAATATGTTGGTGATAGTTAATGGCAAACCAGGGGAATGTTTTAAGGTCTCGCGAGGTTTGAGACAGGGAGACCCTTTATCTCCTTTTCTATTCATTTTGGTTGTCGATGTGTTAGGTAGGATGGTTGACAAAGCTAAAGAGGTAGGCCTGTTTGAAGGTTTACAGGTTGGTAGAGATAGGGTTAGTGTGTCGCATTTGCAATTTGTGGATGACACTATTTTCTTCTCTTTGGGGGATGAGTGCCAAATGGCAAACCTTTTTTCAGTAGTTAGGCTTTTTGGGGCAATTTCAGGGCTTAAGGTTAATTTAGAAAAGAGTAGGGTAACGAGTATTAATGCTGATTCAAGTTTGATTCAAAGGGTGGTTGAATTACTTGGTTGTGGGATTGAGACATTTCCTATGAAGTATTTAGGCCTTCCACTGGGAGGTAACCCAAGAAGTGAAATGTTTTGGAATCCAGTGGTGGAAAGGATAGGTAAGAGGTTAGATGGGTGGAGTAGGGCTCTTTTGTCCCGTGGGGGTAGATACACTTTGGTTAAGACAGTGCTGAGTGGGATCCCTATTTATTTCATGTCTTTGTTCAAGATTCCGGTCAAGGTAGCAAAATTCATAGAAAAGCAAATGAGGGATTTTCTGTGGGAAGGAAAGGAAGAAGGAAGAAAAGACCATTTGGTGAAATGGGAAACGGTGTCATTACCAAAGGAGAAAGGGGGCTTGGCAGTTGGTAATATATTGGCTAGAAACATGGGCTTTGCTGGGCAAGTGGTTATGGAGATTCCAAATTGAGTGTGGTTCATTATGGCATGCAGTTATCAAAAGTAAATATGGGTTGCATGTTAATGGTAGGGATTCTCAGGTGGTTTCTAGGGGTAATGGACGTGCTCCGTGGAAGTCAATTTCTCATATTTATCCAATTTGGTCCCAATTTATTTCTGTGAGGGTGGGGAGGGGGGACATGGTAAGGTTTTGGGAGGATGTTTGGGTGAGTTCTTCGTCCTTTGCTGAGTCTTATCCTCTTTTGTATAGAGTTTCTCAATCTCATAATTGTTCTATTGCGTCCGTGGCTGTCTCTTCGTTGGCTCCTTGTTCATGAACAGTTGAAGCAGCGGTTTGAACATCGCCCGAGCAGATTGAGGAAGTGAAAAAAAAGTCTAGGAATCCGCCTTGTCTGGGTTGTAGGAATCACCGAGTGGATTGAGAGTTGCAACTTGTACCTGCTCTTTCGCCTCTCTTTGGCGATCTTTCTTCTCGTGGAGTTTATCAACCTGGACGTACGAGAAAAACGCTCTATTTTATCACCATAAAATAAGCTAAAATACTAAAACTTAAGCTAGGTGTAATGAGAGGTTCGGGGAGCCGTCAGAATTTGAATGCTTGCAATAAACTTCAAATCTTCTAGAAAATTATGAGAGAACTTAGATTCTCAAATCGGTGGCAACTTAGAAAGCACAATACATAAGAATAGAGATAAGAGATTGGATGAACAAGAAAACAGTAAGATTTTTTTTTTTTTTTTTGATCATAAATCAAAAGATAAATTTTATTAAGCGCCCAAGCGCCAAAGAGGAGAGGATGAAGGCATCTGACAAAGGAAAAAGACAAAATACATCCAAAAGACAACCACTATCCCAAAAGAGCAACACAAAACTACACAACTATTCAGCCCAAACGACACCATTGAAGCATCCCAAAAAAGAGGAATCCTCGGACACAGGACTTGCCAGGCCCAAAAAGACGCCAAAAAAACCACTTATCCCATAAATAATCTATATCCCTAGATCTCCTTCAAAACACGCCCATTATCCTCTCCAACCAAATGACCCAGGAATTGCCAAAGACTACACTTACTCAAAGAAGCTTTAGCCTCTTCGACTTTCCAAAGACTTGAAAATCAAATAATAGCATTTGAGCAAAACCTCAGGAGCCACCCACTGTAACATTGCCCAAACCAAATACCCGGAGTTCCCAAAAGCCGCCACGAACAATGCAGAAAAAAGATGATCAATAGATTCTCCACTTTTGCCAACACATTATGGCACATTAGGATTAGATACATGAAGCGTCTCCTCCTTTGCAATGAATCATTTTGTAAAAATCACCTACTACACACTACCACTACACCTACTACACACCTCACCTATTCACCTACTCTCCACCCTACTCCTCCCTACTCCTCACCTACACAACTCCACCGCTCTTCTTATATATAGGAATGCATGACATTGTAATATGATATCAATAAACATACATCAATCAATAATACAATCATTTCTCTTATACATTAAATTCTACATGGTATCAGAGCTAGTTGAGCAACCTTAGTATTTTCCTTAACGCCGGCGGCAGCCTCGCCTTGCGACCCGCGACGCTCTCATCTCTCAACTGTTTCTGCATGACTTGCATCACATTTGCACTCTCTTAGCCAGGATGCGGCTCTCTCTTTAGTTGAAAGAGAGAATCTGTCTCTCTCTCTCTCCATCAATGCAAGCAAAATCTTTCAATAACTACCATAGCATAATCTGTTACAGAACATATCAACTTGCTACCTGTTTTCACTAGCTCGCCGCCAGTTTCCGCACTGTACGTCATATCAATCTCCGTCCGTAGATACAGCATCTCGCGACGCTTGAGCATCGCTCCACTATGATTTAACAGTCGGATGCCTTTGAGAATCATCAGCCTCGGAGAGACGAGATCTTGTTAGCGCGCCGCCGTCCTGGTGGTGTGGTAGGGTGGTGTTTCCATTTAATCATGCCGGTTCGTCGATCCTCGCCGATGAGTGCTGCCGAAACTCGCCGTAACTTTTCCGATCTCTGAATTTCAACAGATCTTGCGGCGTGGTAAGGCGCGTATTTTTTGGCCCCTAGTGCAGCTTCAAAAACAGGTTGAAGAGCGGTTTGAACATTCCGCCCCGAGCAGATTGAGGAAGTGAAAAAAAAAGGTCTAGGATAATCCGCTTGTGCGGTTTGTGGAATCCACCAGAGTGGATTGAGGCAGTTTGCAACTTGTGCTCTTTTTCCCTCTCTTGCGATCTTTTCTTCTCTAGAGTTGTATCAACCTGGAGATCGAGAAAAACACTCTATTTTACACATAAAATAAGCTAAAATACTAAAAACTTAAGCTAGGTGTATGAGAGGGTTCGGGGATGTCGTCAGAAAATTTGAATGTTGCCAAAAAACTTCAAATCTTCTAGAAATTAGAGAGGACTTAGATTCTTCAATGGTAGCAACTAGAAGCACAATACAAAGAGATAGAGATTAAGAGATGGATGAAAAGAAAACAAAGTAGATTTTTTTTTTTTTTGTGATCAGCAACAAAAAGATAAATTTTATTAAGGCCCAAGGCCAAAGAGGAGAGGATGAGGCATCCTCCACAAAGAAAAAACAAAATACATCCAAAAAGACAACCACACCAAAAGACAACCAAAACTACACAACTATTCAGCACAAACCGACACCCAATTTGAAGCATCAAAAAAAAGAGAATCCCTCGGAAACAGGACTTGCCGAGGCCCAAAAAGACGCAAAAAAACCACTCTATCCCATAAATGAT